ATCATTCCTGCAATTCGAGATCTGCGAATTTATTGCAAAAACGCACGATCGCACAGGCAAGCCTGTTGCGTTCCAGCTTGGGTTCTTAATGATATCGGCAGTTACCAACACGAGGATAAATTTCATCCCGATAGAATGATGTACCAAAAGATTTCGAGCATAGCTCTGTTAACAACAGAACTCTCTTATTAGAAAAATATTTAAAACTAATGAAAACTCTAATAAATGTTTTCAGCGATAACAGTAATACCAGCGGCAATTCAGCTGTGTGTATTTCCACTATGTCCTGAATCACCGAAATATACTTTGATTGTTAAAAATCAGCCTGAACAGGCCGAAAGAGATTTGCAGAAACTGCGCAATAAAGACGATGTAAATTTCTAATAATTTTTGATACAAAATATAGCGGACAAAATCTTTTCCTGGAGCAAGAGAAGAAAGGGGCAGTTAGCTACGGCACAGTGGTTAACAGAAAGTTTTAGGCGTAAAATTCCAGAAAGATTCGTCACAACTTGTCCGAGAGGAAGGAATAGAAACAGACTGCTTTTGCTTTCCGCGTATTACAATTGTTTGCAGAAGGAGTTGATTTTTTTATAAATTTTTGAGAACTTTTTTCCGAGGAATCAAAAAATTTATGAGCTTGATAGAAAATAAGTCCAATTTTTTAGGGATAAAAAGACTAAATTTCTTCCACTGTTATTCAGCTGTCGGTTTTCTGTTAGTCTTTTAAACAAATATGATCAACTTTTCATTTTTCTACACTTAGAAATGCTAAAAATTTGATTATTCTGCATGCAGTAATTGCTGTCAGCTAATTTTCCGACTGCCCAGCTATTTTCTCGACTTTTTCGAAACGATTTTATCAAACTTAACCTTTTACAATTCTTATGTTTTTTGGTATCATGCAGATTCACAAAAATATGTACGTCCGATCATTTTCAGGTATCGGCAGAAATGGATTTGATGCGTGAGGAGCAAGCGCAGATGGCAGCGACAGAAAAAGTCGGAGTTTCAGACCTCTTCCATGGCATTTACCGTTGGCCAATGTTCATTGCAATAATGATGATGGTGGCGCAGCAGTTCTCTGGTATCAACGTGGCCATGTTCTTTTCAACCTCAATTTTTGAGGACGCCGGACTGGGCTCCAACGCTGTCTATGCTACTCTCGTCATGGGACTTGCCAACGTCCTCATGACGATGCTCTCAGTCTATCTGGCATGTTTTCACGTCTTTGTGCAGGTTCTTATCTGAGGAATTGTATCACAAATGTGTTCTTTTCGCTTAAAGTCACAATTAACCTCCCTCGTTTTTTTAACCTCCTTTTCTAATTCTCACTGAAAAATGTAGGCATTCGGATGTGAACAGCGCAATAGCGATGCGAAGAAAAATATCAAAGTGTTCGAAAGAAAAGTGTTTAAAAAGCAAACTGTCGGTGATTTGTTTTCTACCTGAAACAATTTAGCAACACTCATAGCGATTAGTGTTTTCATTGGTAGAAAGCAGCAAAAAAGGCAGCAGACGTCACTTATCTATCTTTTATAAGTTCGCATAAGTTGACAAAGAAAAAGTAAGCCACAAATAATTGTCAACCATCCTGAAAAGTGATTGAATTTATTGGTCCAGCTACGATATTGAGAGATCATGGATTCTGAATAAGTCAGAAACCTGGAAGAGTTGAATTTTCAGTAAATTTTTCTTTCCGAGGAGCCCAGATTCCTTTCTTCCCTGTTTTCAAGCAAAAAAGAAATCGCTCACGTGGAAGAACGAAAACTCATCTTTAGCTCTAAAAATTACATATTTCAGGTGATAAAGGGAGACAAAGCATAATTGTTAGTTCATACCTGAATTAAGGTATTTTGGGATAGGAAATTCGGGTTTCCATTACGTCTAATTTATGGTTTAAAGATTATTCTGAGAGTTTAAACGTATTATTCTAAAATTTAATGATATGTAAAAACATATAAACAAATGGCATTAAATTACAATGAACCAGCTGAACAAAAATGTTTCGGTCCTTGAAGTCGTATACATCTATTTTATTCCTATGAAGCTAGTTCTTTTAAGGTTGACCATCCAAAATGTGGACGCCTTTTGCTTCTGCTGGTTGGTTTTATTGGAATGTGGCTCTCATCCATATTACTGGTCATATTCATCAGTATTTATGTAAGCTTGCTTTTTCTCCTAAGGGTAATAAGTATATTAGAAGTAAAAGTTAAAAACTCTTTTCTTAATTCATTCTCTAAAGGATGCGGGAACAATTTGAAGTAGCTTGAGCGATAACATGCCAACGTTAGCCACTGACAAAACTGTCGATTGATGGAGGGTTGCTTAGAAGCAAGCTAACCTTCAAATGCTGCTTGCTTTATAAGCTATAGATTCAACAATCCGCCAGCGGCACCTTCGGGAAGGACGTAGTCACTCGGGCAAATTCCAAAAGGGTAGTTGCGTAGATGCTGAAAAATACTTTAGCATATGATTTCGCTACAAGCGATAAACAAAATTAGGTTTTTTTACCACAGAAGAAACCTAAGATGATTACATTTGATCCTTGCTGCAGCTCTGTAAAAATTCATATTTTCGTTGATGATGTATGAGGTCACTTTTTTTTCCTTCGACGGGATAATCCTGTTGCCACACTCATGCTACTATTTGTATTGCAGAATGCGAACAAAGAATCCAACAAATGGTCAGCGTATCCGTCATCCGTATTCGTCTTCCTCTTTGTAATAGCATTCGCCACCGGTCCGGGTAAATTTTTTCCGCCTTCGAGATTTTTAAGCTTTAAAACGTTCGTGATTTTGAAAAAGATTTGTGGTTTGACGGCGACTAGCATAAATTTTATACCTTTTTATGCGTTTCTGCATATATGCAGATTGCAAAAACGCATATTGGGAAGAGGCTGTGTGTGTTTGTGTGTTCGCACTTTTTGTCACCTACTTTCAACTCGAGAACCTGAAAAGCTAGAAGGCTGAAACTTTAGGAGTATGTGCCCATATTATGCGCGGCCCTCTCATTTTAATTTCATCCCCCTAGGACGCCTGGATGCCGCGTACGAACGCTTTAAAAAAACATGCAAATTTTTTGGCGGGAAAGCGATCTCGGGAATTAGACGAAGCAAGGGGCTGAAACTTTGTAGGGATATTCCTTGTGCACGTACTAGCTAAAGATTTCAAACTCAGCCCTTAGATATGCGTGGTACTCACGTAAGGGCGTATGAAAGTTTTAGGGGGAAATTGCTAATTCGATACCAGTAAAACTAAAAACTGAAATTTTGGGGGAATGTTCCCCATACAAGTGCAACTCAAATATTTCAAATTCAGCCTCAAGCTATGCATGGTACTCACGTAAGAGAGTA